TGGGGGTGAGCGTCGACGCTGCTGTCTGGGTTGTGCCCCTCTGTGATTTGTAGATAGCTGCACTCGGGACCGTGGGTCCGAGGTAGAGCAGGAGACACTTATTTGATTCTGAATTGGCGGTGGGGCCACATGTGGCACTATAGGTGGAGCTGGCGCTGGTATCGCATTGGGAGCGTTTGCTCCCATCGTGGCGATGTATTGAGTTACGGCCTCCGTAGCGGCGCGAGTTGAGGCTTCTGCTATCATGCGTTGGAGTGCGTCCTCGGTTATTTGAACCGTTTGAGGAGCAGGGAGTGGTGGATCGGCGAGTGGTGGGTCCCGAGGAGGGATCACCTGAACCTCGCGAGGCGGATCTGCAGCACGTGGAGGAGGTGGCTCCACGGCACGTGGAGGAGGTGGCTCCGCGGTGCGTGGAGGAGGTGGCATGCCAGATCCTCCACGGACTGGGAGGTTATTAGCCGTGTCATTTTCTCTCCGAGCTGACGCCTCAGGAGGATCTTGTTGGCTACGTGATCTGGTTTGCATCGTTCCCACAGACGGCGCCAAAATGATGATGCTAAAATATAGCTCACCTAGGGGGTGTAGAAAATGAGCTGGGAGAGCAAAGCGGATCAGTAGCTTGATAACTGGATGGTCCTGAGATCCCTACAAAATGAGCACACGTGAACTAAGCCGGGGGTTGATCCGGCGGAAACCCCTCCGACGCTCAAGTCAGATGTACGGATCGTAGAGATTGTAGAGAGAATAAAACTCGGAATTGATTGTGAATAATCAGAACGTACCTTTACGAATGAATAAAATATCTATTTATATATCGTTGAATGGGTTGGACTTACTTTGTTGGGACCAAACCTTATTTTGAAGGAGCTTGGGCTTTCGTGTAATGGGCCTAATTGGTAGATAAATTTGAGGGCCCATTGGGCCGGCCCATTTAGGTATATCACCTGGTAATCGAGAGTTGTGGTTGCTTGATCAAGCGTTGCTTATAAAATAAAAGCGAATCAATACCAATGCATAAAAATTGGGAGAACTGGAGAAAAAGAAGAGGAGGATGAAAATAAAATCAGTACCATGGCTGAAAATAAAATCAGTAACATTTTTCCTCCAATTGCAGACCTCTCCCCTTTTCGATCATATCCGGAGTTGGATTACTCAGGAATTGTCGGCTCATAATTTTTGGGTGCCCACCCCTTTTCTCCAACCCAATTCTTTTTCCTTTTCTTGCCAAGCTGCTCGACCACGACGTGTCTGCTTCTTTTTTTCCTTTTCTTTTAATCCGCTCGCTCGAAAACGGCGTCGTTTCAGCGAAGGCCTCCACATCTGGCCACAATTGTTGACCTCCACCGTTCCACCGTTCGCCGCTTCCACGCCCGCCGCTGCCGCTTCGTTCGATGCCCACCGCCCCTGCCGCCAACATCACTTCCCACCTCTTTTTTCAACCAATTGCAGACGCCGCCCTCTTCCACTTGCTTATATATGCAGCCCGTGAGATTCTAACATATACTTCCTAGGTAGGCCCCACTGAGTCTAATCTTTTGTTTTTTGTCAAATTATATTACAGAAGGATTCACAAGAAGGACAGTAACGATGATGATCAGATGTATTACCCTCCTGTTCAGTTGCATTTGTTTGAAGACCATGTAATTTAAATTAAAGTCGCATTTCTTATTTCGCGATTTATCTAAAAAAAAATATAATATGTGTATATATATGTATGGTGTTAGATAACGGCATAGTCAACGTTAGTTTGTCAACTCCCGGTGGTATGGTGACTGCAATAGAGTACAACGGAATTGATAATTTACTCCAATTTGATTACAAAGAAAACAACAGAGGGTACATACAATACAATACATTATACCATTTAATTTTTAATCCTCACATTTCACATTTCACATTTCACATTTCACATTCCACCTTATATCTTCATGGCCAACAATATTTTAATTTTTGTTTTTAGAAAAAGAAAAATTGGAAGGGATACTGTAGGAGAAAAGGAAAACAACGGTTGGAGGGATGGAGCGACACGACGGCGGGCCGCCGACCAGCAACTGCTGTGGAGTGAGAGGGGCACAAAAGAAGGGGAAAATAAAGCGAGAAAGAAAAGCGAAAAGAAATAATGCAGAGGTCGGTCGAGTCGAGAAGAAGAAGTCTGCAATTGGATGAAAACAGAGGTGGGAATTGACATTGGCGGCGGGGCGGTGGGCATCGAACGAAGCGATGGCGGCAGGCACGGACGGTCAAAACTGCGCCGTTTCAATCCCTCCCTCCAATCAGCGTCTCCTATTGTTTTCTTTTTCATTTATTTTCCAAGCAGCTCGAGTGTGACACGCCTGCTTGATTTCTGCTTTTTTCTTTTATTCCGCTTATTGCCAAACGACGTCGTTCCGTTCTCTTTTACTCTGCTCACTACAGAACGACGCCGTTTCAGTGACCCGACCTCACATATCGCCCACAACTGTTGACCTCCGCCACCCGCTTCGCCCGGCGTCCGCCGCCGCTTCGCCCGACGTCCGCCGCCGCTTCGCCCGATGCCCCTATCACATGGCGCCGCTTTTTTCCTCCAGGAGTATGCCTCGCCGCCCTCCTCGGCTATATCTTAAATTTGTGGGTGTGATTTCTACGGTTCTAATTCCAACGGAACCCTTTTTCCCAGCCACTTCCCTTTTTCCTCATACTTCCGTACGTGCGTTGTCCTCCTCCTGCCACCGCTGCAAAAATATTTACCTTCCCATCTCTATCTATTAATCCTCAGAACTGAGGCTCATTGAATTGAATACGATGTTTTCTTCCTCACCCATTTTCTGGTCAATTTTAACAAGCGAGAAACCATTGAATTTTTCTTATACGCATTGGTATAAGAAAAAAGAAGCAGAGACGTCGTGGTCATATAAGGAAAAATATCTTATATGTTACTGATTTTATTTTCAGCCATGGTACTGATTTTATTTTCATCCTCCTCTTATTTTTCTCCAGTTCTCCCAATTTTTATGCATTGGTATTGATTCGCTTTTATTTTATAAGCAACGCTTGATCAAGCAACCACAACTCTCGATTACCAGGTATGCAATCAATCCTAATCCTACCCCTAAGGATTAGGATTACATATATATATTAACCTATATATATATATATATATATATATATATATATATATATATATATATATATATATATATATTAATTTTGGTATAAAATGGACGTTTTAATCAATCCTAATCCTACCCGTTTATATATTTACCCTTTTCCTTATATGCAATTTTGGAATTGACATTGGCGGCGGGGCGGTGGGCATCGAACGAAGCGATGGCGGCAGGCACGGACGGCGGAGGTCAACAATTGTTGGCCATAGTTAGGCTCGGGCGTTCAACGACGTCGTTTTCCAGCAAACTGATTAAAAGAAAAGAGAAAATAAAGCACACAGGACATGGTCGAGCTGCTTGAAAAATAAAGCGAAAAGAAAAGAATTGAAGAAGATGATTGGAAGGAAGGACAGGAACGACGCCGTTTCGTGTTAAAAGGGGGCAAACAAAAAGCAAAAAGAAATTGCATATAAGGAAAAGGGATTATCCCCGAGCTGCTTGAAAAATAAAGCGAAAAGAAAAGAATTGAAGAAGATGATTGGAAGGAAGGACAGGAACGACGCCGTTTCGTGTTAAAAGGGGGCAAACGAAAAGCAAAAAGAAATTGCATATAAGGAAAAGGGATACTTATATATATATATATATGGGGATAACACCATTTTTCTTCATGCCTTTTCTTTTTATTTTCTTTTGGCCCATCTAATGTCAAAACGTCGTCGTTGCCTCACTCTCACCAATCAGCGTCGAGATATC